ACAAATTTGATCCAATGACAGACAATTATTATTACAATATATAAAATACTTTACTCAGCTTAAAGCTTTCGTGACTGCAGGGATTCATATTCTTGGTTCTTTCGGTAAAGTCACATAGAAGGGAAATAATAAAATAATACAAATTAAACAATAACATTCTCACGACGTCTCGATTTCAACACAAGCAATCATCATCAGGTGTGAAAACAACAAAATGTTCTTGCTGTGGTTTTCACACCTGATGATGATTGCTTGTGTTGCAATCGAAACGTCGTGAGAATTGTATTGTTTAATTGTTCTTATTTTTGTATTTCCCTTCTACGTGACTTTACCGAAAGAAGCAATAATATACTTTACTCAGTTTATTAAAATACCAACAGGGCACTTATTTGAATAAGTTGTGAGTTGGAGGAGTGTTACCAGCCTTCGGTAATAATATAAAATTTCTGTTAAATCTTTAGCCTATTATATATGAATATATAAAATCATATATTCCTTTTCAGGCATTGTTGATGAATGTGAGTTTTGTTTTTCTTCAGGTCAGTGATTGACTGACATTAGCGATGAGAAACAGTTGGCTAATAATGGTAGCTGTATGTTGTTTACAGGGACTGTTGAGAGCTTATATAAAATGTTGGGAATTACTGTTCGAGCACTGTATTGAGCAGGGTGTTGAGAATCTTAAAATAGTACCTTTGGAAAATGTCTTGGAATTTTGGTAACTTTATACCGTGGTGTTTTTACACGAGGTAGACGTGCCTGTAATCCGGTGCTCTGTGGGGCGGGATTGGTGGTTCACATTGTGGATTATGTGGAGTTTTCGCATCACGAGAGTTGAGACTGAACCTTCGGGACCAGGAGCTGTCCTGGATGAGACACTAGCCTAGGCTACTACGTTGTTGCACAGAAGGTATTCTTATTTAGATAGCGGTTGTGGTCTTTAAACTTTCAGGCCTTGCTTTAGGTTTCCTGTGGGATTGTTTTTGTGTGTGGAAATAAATGATTCAGGCATGTTTAAATATTGTTTTAGCTGCTTTGCACACATAACGGGACATGTGCAGCACCAACTTGTGACTCGTACCCGCAAATATTGTATTTCCAATTCTCTACTCCCTTCACTGACTCCCAATTCAGGCTTAAATTCGTTACAAGACTGCCCTCACTACTTTTAAGATCTTAAATGCTATTGCTCGAGTTTGTATCAACATTGCACCTCCGATTAGCACGGTTAGTTACGTATGGTGCGAAATAAGTTTAACATACATCGAATGCTACTCTCTTGTTTGTACACTTCTCTACTCGAGCAGCCCAGGTCTCGAGTGCAACTCAAAAGTAACCTTTGAACTGTGGGAGGTCGCTCCCTCCTCCTCCACTGCTCCCTCTGCCTTTTCAATGTCTCTCCGCCTGGTTTGCCTGCTCGGCTGATTCACTCGCCGCCTTCTGCCCTCTACTGTCCATTAGATAATTAATAATTGAGTCGGACCACGCTTAGCACTACCCTGTAGAATGCGTTATAGCGTTCTTTTTACCTGTCGATTTTTTTCTAACAAAACATTTAAGAAAATCCAAAAATCTATCAAACGCTTAGGAGTGAGAACACGCAAGTGCTGAGGAATTGCACCCGTCGCCAACCTTGTTTACATTTGCGCAGCCAATGAGATCGACATATGCTCTGCGACAACCAGAACCCCACCCCCCATTTGATGATCACGATTCGTGGTCACAATGACATTTTTTCTCTGTTTTTACAAGACAGTAGCTTTCTCCCCACCCCTTTGCCCTTTCATGCAGTTAATTTAGTTTACGTACTCTGATATTAAACAAAATCGTACTAGCCATCACCTATGTTTCATTGGCAGCTGTGCCTTAAGGTCCGAATTCAAATCTCTTCTTTCTGAGCTGTCTTTTGCAACATTGGTATTGAGACATTTGCCCTTGTGGAAATGTACCCATACAAAGTCCAAAGTCTGTGGCCCATGTGTTATACAGTAGAACCATGAGTTAAACAAGTTGGTGAGTTCCCGATCAAAGGGCATTATTTAGGGTGATGCTCACCTCAATTTGTGGCTCTTGAGCCAGATTTGGAAAATCCACATTCCAGCGATTGATCTAGTCTTTCGGGGGGAAAACACGACTCCTTTTCTTGAGCCTGGTAGGATGACTGACTCCTAAAAATATTTGAACTTTAGACTTTCTGGGTTCAAATCCAGGATGGAGTCCGGACAGTGTTTATGAATGTGGTATTGAACAATTATTGTACATCAGAGACAGGAAATAGTAGGATGAGTGCTTAATACAGAATATTTTGTGGGCAGAAATAAAAGGAGGTTGTTGGTCAAGTGCTTTCCAGGTTGCCCTTGACAGTGGTAATACATTAGAGGAATTGGATATTTAATTGAAACATTCACAAATGGTTATAACTTCTTAAGAAATAATGGTTATGGGTAAAAATAAATCCCAGGATAGGAAGGTTAACAAAATTCGTATCCAGAAATCGTTCATATTTTTGCCATATACCCCATACCCATACCCGGCTACCCGTACCTGGCCTGGTACGGGTACCCGTTTGCGACCCTGGTGCGACCGGGTACGGGCACGGGTAGGCCGTGAGTCACTGGTGAGTAACCGTTTGTCACTCATTTCCCCAACGTCTTGTCTCTTCTCACAATTCAAGTTCCTAGAATCAACCCACCCGCGCTTGCAACATGTCTTCATCCCAGAGGTCGCAATCGGGTACCCGATACCCGTACCCTACCCGATACCTGGCTACTCGTACCCGGCCGGGTATCGGGTACAGGTACCCGTTTGCGACCCTGGTGCGGCCGGGTACGGGTAAGGAATCAAAACCCGTTTGCGACCTCTGGCAGTGACGTATTTTCAGTCACTATGGCGTCTCGTGTCAGTTATTGGAAGAAGAGTGGTACTGTGCATGTTAGCATCTCTCTCTGGCACCAGAGTGTGTATGGCATAGAAGCAGGCGAGAGGGGGCAATGCTTCTCGTGACGGCCAGAGAGGGCACTTCAGGACATGACAGTCTGGGTGAACCTGAGAGGGCACGTGACCAGGAGAGGGTAGCGAGGGAGGCCAAGGGGTGGCGAGAGGGACACGTGACATAAGGCCCAGAAGCTTCTAGGATCTAGAAGGAGGCGTAGCCTAGGGCGGAGCCAGGCCATGCTCAGGGGAATAAAAGGGAAGTCCCGAGCGCCGATCCGGGCTGTCTTCAGGAAACAACCCACGGTACTACGTTTCCTCGCTCTTCGGTCATCCCTTTCGGCATCGTGAGTCAGGTAGTACGTTACTGACCTGACTCAGATTAGTCGTTATCCCGTTGGGGTCTGAGTTAACCGTGGTAGTTACCACCTATATCGTTGTGTAATGTAGTTACCTTGTTGGGGTGTAGTAATAAAGGTGTTGCCTCCAAGTTCAAGTGTGTACCTCCGTGGAAATCACTACACGTGCATTGGTGTACTTTAAGAGAGCTGTTATAATTTATTGCTTTTCGAGGCTCATTCAGAAGATGAGGTGTAATTTCCTTTCATCCATTAAAGACACCTTACATTTTAATTTTAATTGCTGTAGTGATAACATGTCAGATTTATAGTGCTTGCTGAATTCGTGCAGTGGGTTGCTAATACAAGTGTAATAAATCAGCTCGACGACAAGCGACTGTCTTCTTTATTTATTTGTTCCCGTGCTGGACAGCTCCGCGTTCTTCCACACAGTTCCTTCGCCCCGCGCCGCGCCACGTGGGCTGGTGTCCCGCACTCGCACCGCTCTCTCTCTCGCTCGCTCCCGCGCACCACTGGCAGCCCGTCTCCGCGCCGCCACGTGGCCGATGGCTCGCGGAGACCCGAGACGTGGCCCCGCTTCCTGACCTTACCCACTGACCACGAGCCCCTTCCGGCTTTTCCTTATAACCCCTTCCCGCGTTACCCAGACGCCGCCTCTCGCCACACCTCCTCACGAACTCTGAGATGGTACCCACTAGCACCCCCTGGCTCCGCCCTTGAACTTTAACCCCGATAGTTCCTGTTACCTGATTGACACAGAGGCTGAGGCGGTGAAGCCCACCCCACCGATCGGCGACCCCCAGCATACGCTCGCATTACACAAGTAAAACGGTTTACCAAAGCAGCACAGAAAGTGCTTTGGCATTTGCACATTGTTGAAATTACATTTTTTTGCGCTGAGGTGGTTAAGTGGCTCAGGGATCAGAGTGCTGAACACAGGCACTGCTCAGATCCTGTGTTGGAATCCAAGCTCAGCCGTTTCACCTGGGTTCTTAAAATGTACCAAGTTGATGGCCTCAGCCTGGTTACCAACCGATGCAGAAAAAAACAACCACCACATAAAATTTGGTTATGCACTTAATTAGGCCTAATCGGTTTAACTGTGATGTGACGAACATTCTTCTCTTGGTCAAAACACTTAGACCATTGCTTTTGTGTACGACAATATAGAGTGGTGGTGCAGTGGTTAGTACACTGCACTATGAACTGGGTCACCCGAGGTTGATTCTCGGCCACAGCTTACATCGGTCCGAGTGATATCTAAACTGGTCCTGGACAGCCTCCACCCACCTTTAGCAACCCACGCTGACGAACACGGTGAGGTATGGTCAAACAACCTCTTCCTGAGAGGTGTCAGGAGGCCCTCATCCAGTAGTGGATTGACAGAGCTAAAACGTATTATTTTATGTTATGTGATACAGTGTATGCAATACAGATATTTAAAGTCATGTTTCAGAAGCAATTCACAATTGAGACCTGTAGTAATGTGACATTGCCTCGTGATGCACCTGCTCTGCTGGTTGCGTTATGAATTCAGTCAATTAATTCCACCTCTTACGAGCCTGGGTTGGTGCTCATTTCCAATTTGATATGACAAAGGCCAGTTTCACCATAATACCATGGACTACATATCGGTGTGGACTTAGACTTTCATAACAGATACACATGCACAACACCTGTAATTTGCCTTTGCCTGCTTGTGTGGAGCAGGTATGATCTACAGTCGAGAGGACCAGGAGACCCGGGACCTGGGCTACCAGAAGCACGCCTTCAACTTGCTCATCAGCAACCGCCTGGACCCCCACCGCACTATCCCCGACACACGGCACCCACGGTAAAAGACACAGAGCAGGGAAGCAATGGATAGAATTTACCGACCTTGTTATATCCCTTGCAGCAGCTTGGCGGAGGCCTTTATCCAGCAGTAAACTGATCATGGCTGTATGTAGTTTAAACTTATTTCGCACCGTATTTTATGATGAAAAACATTTCACTAATGCTTGAAGCTTTGTGGCTTATGAAATGCACGTGTCCTTGTTGGATGTTCCTACCTGAATGGACACTGATGCCCCCAGGTGTGCGACCAAGTCGTACCCAGCCCAGCTGCCCACGGCCAGCGTGGTCATCTGCTTTTATAACGAGGCCGTATCGGCACTGATGCGCACGGTGCACAGCGTCACAGAGCGCACGCCTCCTGCCCTGCTGCACGAGGTGCTGCTCGTAGATGACTTCAGCGACCTTGGTGAGCCTCTGCTTTTGTATTTGTATCTCTAGCTTTTTATCCATCACTCACTCTCCTGTCGAATGAAGTCTCCTGCTCAAACAAACAATGGGACGGTAGAGCGGGCAGCTCGCAATCGGAGGGTTAAAATCTTAGTTGGGCATTGACTCAACCCATGAACCCTCTGGGGTCAATGAAATAACTACCACTGTGGGGAAGTCGACAGTGGCTGTTCTATGGATAAACTCGCCCCCCACTGAAGGAATTTGGAATTTCCACCACCAACTCAGCAGGTCTGTAAACAGGAGATGAGCACCACCCTCAATGCTCATTTGAGCAGGAAATCACTTTGATATCTGTCTCTGCTGAGTGTAGGAAATGTCACGTTCTCTCTAGTAAATATTTACTAGCTTTTGTACCCAGCGTTACCCGGGCCAAAAAAATATTTCAAAACTACTCTTGAAATCTAAGTGCGTACTGACTGGTGGTACCTGCTATGATTACAGCAGTGCATACCGACTTTGGTGGTATCTGCTATCACTACAATAGTACATGCTGACTCTATAGCAGTATTTATCGACTCTATAGCATAAAGTACTTACCTGACAGAGTGGCGTGGTGAGGCCTATTCCCGTGCAGAGCCTCCGGCCTCGCCTAGATTGTCCAGCCGGCCGAGGTGGCACCTTGGCAGGCTAGGGCTGGGCTGCTACCCCTGCCCCCCCCAGCTACGATCTCCCCCGGCTGCTCTGCAGTAATATCTACGGCCGATAGTGGTAGCATCTAGCGACTGTATAGTAGTAATAACTGCACGCATCGGGGTGGGGGGGACATCATACAGTGAAGAATGAACGTCAGCGTTTAGTGTATTTTAATAGCATTTTTAACGCGAAAGAAAATGTCCCCCTCACTCCCTCCGAAGGCATGTGACTTGGCATGGGCCGTTCCCCCCATCAAAGGCGTGTGAGTTGGTATGGTCGTGCATGCGTCATAAATAAATAAAGAAATCACACAAATCGCACTAAATCGCTAAACTAATTGAAAGTTGACGGATGTGAAAAAGGAATAGCACTTGCTCACCGCGGGGCTTACGGCGTGGTACCTGGCTATTTTTTTACTTTTATATATACATAGATTGTTTGAAACGTTGATAATATGCACCGCCCTGGCACTCAGTACTCAACTAGTGACACGGTGTCGTGTAATAATGTACGCGTGTGTGGTGCTTCACGGCATGCCTCTGCAGGAGACTTGAGGGAAGGGCTGGAGAAGGAGCTGAAGGAGAAGTTTCCCAATAAAGTTAAGCTGGTTCGGAATGAGAAGCGCGAAGGACTCATTCGTGGACGCATGGTTGGGGCCAACCACGCAACAGGTAACACACAGGACATGGGATAATGATACTTGGTGAGAAACGTGTACACTGTGCGTTTATCCAAATTTTTAATTGATAAACGAGCGAGGTCTTGCAATACGATTAGTACGTACAGTATACGCTTTGTCTGCCGAGCGTCACGTGATCACAACTGAGCCGATGGTTCTTCTCTTTCTCGCTACGGGATTGTGGGTAATCGTCTCCCATGCTCGGTCTCAGTCGGCGTGCCTCACTCGTATAGTCAACATCCGTGCGAGCGTATATTGTTTACTATAGTGTTGAGACCACGAGTGTGTGCGTAAAGCATTTTTTTATTTTGTGTCCAAGTGTAGTGACTGTTCTTTAGTAACTGTACTGCAACAATGGCCCCCTCCTCTCCCTCGTCTCCCTCACACCAGCCACGATTAAAAGTAATGAATACATTTGATTACTTTATTAAATTTAAATAATAAAAATATAAAAAGGTATTTTGTATTAATAATTTTTACATGAATATTTTTGGGTTGTGGAACGAATCATCTGAGTTTCCATTATTTCTTATGGGGAAATTCGCTTTGATATACGAGTGCTTTGGATTATAAGCACGTTTCCGGAACGAATTATGCTCGCAATCCAAGGTTTTACTGGATATGAATTCCTAAAACCACCTTCAAAATTATGCTGTTTTTAGGTTTTCATTTGACCAGTGATACACATTTACAATCAATCAAGTCTTTATTTCTATAGCACTGTTTCGTGCAATGGATGCCATTCAAAGTGCTGTACAGATTAAAAAAACCATTGTTAATAGACTAAATCACAAGAAGAATAAAATCTAATTCCATACAAAACAAAATTGCATTATAATAAATTACTGTCAAAAATAAGCAAGTTTAAAAAGGTGAGTTTTTCGATTTAACTTAAAACTGCTTATTGATTGTGAAGCTCTCAGATCCCCTTTCAAGTTGTTCTACAGGCGAGGACCATACACACTGAAGGCCGCTTCTCTGAGTTTTAGTCCTGGCCCTTGGAATGACTAAAAGGCCAGAACCGGAGGGATCTTGTTGGTTCATATCTACAAAGCATAGAAGACATGTATGCTAGTGCCAAACCATTCAACGATTTAAAAACCAATATAATTTTTTTTATCAATCCTATGATTGACTGGCAGCCAGTGCAAGGACCATAAAAATAGGTGTTACACGTGGCAGCTCTTTCCGGTTTTCATGACCACCCGTACTGCTGCATTCTGAATAAGTTGAGGGTGACACTGAATTTTTCAGAAGACTGGAGAAGAGAGCATATTGCAGTCGTCAAGTCTGCTGGTAATAAAAGCATGAATCAATTTCTCAGTAGTTAACCGAGAGAGAAAAGGCTGCACCTTAGCGATGTTTTCTAAGATGATAAAATTCCGTTTTGGTGATAGATCTGATGTGGGCCTCTAAGTTCAAATCCTGATCAAACAAAACTCCTAAGTTTTTAACCTGCAGTTTGGCGTTTTCTGTCAGCGAGCAAACATTTTTGAGACGTTTATCACGTTGGGCTTTTGCTCCAATTACCAGGACTCCTGTTTTGTCTTTGTTAAGTGCCAGGAAATTCAGTGCCATCCACATTTTAATATCAATGCACTTTATAAAGGTATTGATGGGGCTTACATAATTCGGAGATACCAAAATGTGTAGTTGCGTATCGTCAGCGTAGCAATGAAATTCAATCTCATGTTTCCCGATGATATCGCCTCGTGGTAGCATATCGAGACTGAATAAAACAGGTCCCAGAATGGAGCCTTGTGGAACATCACACGTAATTTCTGTCTTTAAGGATGACAGATCATCTATGGATACAAATTGCTCTCTGCCGGTCAAATAGCTCTTAAACCAATTTGCAACTGTACCAGAGGCCGACCCATCTCTGCAATCTGTCAAAAAGAATATTGTGATCAACCGTGTCAAACGCTGCACTCAGGTCCAAAAGCACAAGGACGGATAATTTTTTGTCAAATTTTGTCATCGGTGTTCAATCTTAAATCATTAACAACCTTATCAAGAACAGTTTTCGTGCACTTGGATGTTGCTGTTCTCCAATTGGCTGAGAATTTGTCACCAGGCCTGCAAGAACGATTGCCAAGCCTACATTGACATCACACACTGCACATCAACTAACATTACCTGACCTTGGAAAGCTAATTACAGTAATGTGTTTACAATAGTACTAAAACCTCTCAAAGGTGTCTGACAAACTGAAAACGATAAAAGTGCAATAGTTTGTTTTGCGTTAGATCGCGTGAATATATAAATGTGTCGTTAAACCCCACCGCCACCACCCGACACAGCCAATTAGTAAGGGTTGTCATGTAAACAGAACAAGCAAATTTGTTACTAGTACAGCACACCGGTGTATTGGAGAGCCAAGCCACAACATTTACAATCTGAGTGAGTGTTTTGCCGTTGGTTACTTCGTGCAAGAAGAGCGCACAAGTGTTGTCATCACATCTACGCCTCCCACATAAGGAATGAAACGGGTGGACTTCGACAAATCTGGCTGTCGCCCGATGAAGCTAATTATAATTACTGGCAAAACGTCACTCAGATTGTAAATGTTGTGGCTTGGCTCTCCAACACACTAGTGTTGTACTAGTGACGAATTGGCATGTTCTGTTTACGTGGCAACTCTTACTAATTGGCTGTCTCAGGTGGTGGTGGGTTTAACGACACATTTATATATTTACGCGGTCTAACCCAAAAAAAACCTGTATTATGGATATTGGTCACGAAAGCCTACGTGTTAAACTGATAAAAGCGTACGCAACTATTTTAATAAAATTACACAAATGAACACAAAACACTTTTAATTAACATGTAATTATTCAATAACACAAAAAATGAAATATTGACTGTTGAATAAACATGAATAAAATCACTACGTTTACTGTATAGTTTAAGATAACACTCGTCACTGATGTTAAGCCATGTCCAGGAATCAAAATTAGGTCACTGCGTTCATAGGGCAGTGCACGAACTATTGCGCCACTGCAGTTTAGAAGTATTAAAATATAACAATTGAAAATTAAACCCAGTAAGTTGCCTTGTGCCTTTTAATTTGTATGTTCATAAACAAAGAGAACATCTATATTGCTGGTGTGAAGCTTGTATCCAAAAGAGCCATGGTGCGTTTGAATGCTTGCATGGATTCACAAAAACGGATCTTCCAACTATTCGCACCGCGTGGATCGGTGCGGATGTCCCGTACTCGACGCTTTATTCCCTAGCGGTGGTTGTGGCCGTGTGCAGGTGACGTGCTCGTGTTCTTGGACAGCCACTGCGAAGTGAACGTGGCCTGGCTCGAGCCACTTCTGGCACGTGTGGCCGAGAACCCCACCACCGTTGTGTGCCCCATCATCGACATCGTGAACCCCGACACCTTCCTGTACTCCGCCTCGCCGCTCGTGCGCGGCGGCTTCAATTGGGGGCTGCACTTCCGCTGGGACCCAGTGCCCTCCAGCCTCCTGTCTGGCCCCGATGGGGAGATGGCACCCATCAAGTGAGACCCCGGGGGGTGCACCACACTGGGCACGCAGCCATTCACTGCCCCCCCCCACTTCCCTGCAGTTTGATGGATTCCAAAACCTCACTCATAATTTAATTCAATAATCAATGATTATTATTTGAGGTTTACATTCCCATTAGTATTGTTTCGTTTGCACATTTTTTTTTATTAATACATTTTTCACAACTTGAATCTCTTCCAGTGCCCAGGACCTGGTGAGAAATCCTCAAATAATTACATTCTTTAGCTCGAGGCTCAGTGGCTCCTCCTTTTATGTGACCCTCACTTGACAGCCCGGCGCTAAAGATGTCTGGGGCCTGGCTCTCGGGTGATTGCTTGGTTCTGCGCCAAGGCCCAACAATCTGCAACAGTCGAAGCAATGCTTCTACTCACACTCCATGCTTCTCCTGCCTCCCACTCCAAGCATCTCTCTTCCTCCTCCCTCACAGCTTAAATAGACACTCCAAGCCTAAAACGTGTCATTTAGACTCTGTCTTATCGACAGACATGTTCTTCACCTGAGGACGGCTGCTTGCGTTGTGGCCGAAACGTCGTGAGAATTATTTTATTATGTTTTATTTTTATTATTTAATTACTTCCCTTCTACGTGACTTGACCGAAAGAACCAAGAAGAAGACATCTCCCTCCTCTCACTCCGAACATCCCACTCATCTCCCACTCTCTTTCTTTCCTGTTCCAAGTGGCTTGAAGCTCACTCACAATACATTATAGTGGCTGTATCATTACTGAGCACCGGTCACATGAACTGAGAGGTGGACGATGTGTCAAGTGAGAGACTGAAGATTTGTGACGCAAGGGAAGTAAAGACCGACACTGTTGGATGTGTGGCGTAAGATATGGCATGGGGATGTATTGAGAGAAGCAGACAACATGAGAGGTATACAGTGAGAGATACTTTAACAGATATATAAAATAAGAGGCAGTTAGACAGCAACATAAGTAGATTATTAGAGTTGCTTTATATGACAGGAAATACCGATCCCTGATTAATTGTTGGATTGATTTTTCCACTTCCCTCAGGAACTTTAGAGCAAGGTTTCACCATATCACCACAGATGAATATCATTCTCACCTCCCTCGGTGTGTTTCTATTTTAGTTTGGTTTAAGCTGCCAAGTGTACAGATTCTAATATTGTCACAAATGAACATAACGCATCTGCCCACAGATCTCCCACAATGGCCGGGGGGTTGTTTGCCATGGACCGCAAGTACTTCAACAAGCTGGGCCAGTACGACGGTGGGATGGACATCTGGGGTGGGGAGAATCTGGAGATATCTTTTAGGGTGCGACCAAATCGCAACCTACCACCGAACACACAACACACACACGGATTGCACTATCACTTGACGACAACTCGTAAGTGAAAGCTTCTGTTAAAATGAGTGCAATGCTGTTTCCATTTGTGTTGGTAGCACACAGCTAATATAAGGAAGCTCAAAAACCCTAAGGCAAAGGTGAGGTTTTGCTCAGAACAATGGGTTAATTATTTAAATCGAAATTGAACATATACTCATTATTGATCCCCAAAAGGGTTGATGTGTTGAACATTGCCTTTGCTTTGAATGCACAAGCTTCCGATTACGAACCACGCTCACGGCCACAGCACCACACAGTCTATTGTCCGAATAAGATTTCACTTAATAACCTCAAGAGTTTCCTTTGTGTCACAGGGCAAGTACGTAGTAAGGAAGCAGTAGGAAAGTGCTGAGTTAGTGCCGTTTCACACGGCACTCTCCCCCACACAGATCTGGATGTGCGGGGGGACCCTGGAGATCATCCCATGCTCAAGGATTGGACACATCTTCCGCAAGCGACGTCCTTACGGCTCGCCTGCCGGTGCAGACACCATGTCGCGCAACTCTCTGCGCTTGGCGCACGTGTGGCTCGACGAGTACAAGGCAAGCGCCACCTCTCCCAGTGGTGGCACCAGCGCCGTCACACAGCACATACCGGAGCTCTGCTAGCACTTACTCTGCTCGTTTTAATTAACCATGAGCAATACACTACACTTAACACACCTACTCCGCATAGGCCATAATTAGCATTACGATGATAAAGAGTTATATACCCAGGACAGCCACACTGAGGCCAAAGACTTTTTGAGGAGGGTCCTGCATTGTTTGGTCAACACCAATCGCATTGTATTTTTTTTTACTCGGTCGGAAACCCATACAGAACAGGGCGAGAACGTACAAAATCCATCACACAAAGGTGCCCTAGTCAGGGAATCGAACAAGTGTTGCCACTGATTAAAATACACTAATTGGCCTGTGGCTGCATCTGTGGCATAAAATGTTCTCACTGTTGCACGGGAGTATTTGCTTTCATTTCCTTAAATCAACAGAAAACACTCATTGTTGAAGCATTCCTCTATAGCAGCATTGATTTCGTTTAAGTCGCTGTTATTTTAAGAGATTGGCAGGTTTGCATTTTTTTGGGGCTTCCTGTTTTAATCGGAGATCACTTGGCTTTCTTCTTCAGGCCCCACCCTTTCCTCAGGACCCCTCCCCTTCCTGCATATGCACCACCCCCTTCACAATTATGCCCCTTCCTATTTATTCCCTGCCCTTTCCTCTTTAGGCTAGGCCCTTTCCTGTTTATTCCAGTCCCTTCCTCTGTCACTTCCTGTTTAGGCCCTCTCACTTCCTATGTAGTCTCTTGTTGAGGCCGCACTCTTGTCTGTTAGGGGGCATCCATTTAGTACTTATGCAAAAATGTCAACTTGACCCCTCCCCCACTTCCTGAACGCACGTGTACTTTTTAAACCCCTCCCCCCACCTGCCTACGTACGCTTGACGCCCCCGAATCCTATAGAACGGCCGATATTTAATCCATGCAGATTAAATATCGGCCTAGCTTTACACACAGCTTTGTACAGTTACTTGACCGGTTATTCAAAAACACGTCTATTATGATCTTAAAACACAATTACAACTCGGTGAACCAGTCTCTATATGAAGTGCGTCGACTGAACATCTGCTGCAACAGTAGACCGATGGACAGAGCAGTGTTAGTGCTCAAGTCCGGGGGCAGCAGCACGAACAGAGCACCGCGGCAGCTAAAATCTTGAGCCAGTGGCAGTCTGCAGTGAGGCCAGATTGCAGGATGTGGTAATCCATGGGGCAGGTCGCCAGACTGTCAGATTCACTGCTGAGCTGTGTGACAGCTGCAGTCAGCGGCACGGTGGCATGCAAGTGACACCTCTCCCACAGTCCCTACTTCTCCCAGCAGTACGTGTTTGACAGCTGAAGAAACTGAACTGTGGCTCATTTGAAGGCCAATGTAGACAAATTATTATCGAGGCTTCACCCCCCCCCCCCCCCCCGTTTCCTATGCGTATGTACATTGTCAGTAGATCCCCCCATATGCAAGCGTACGCATTTGGGTTAACCCCCCCTCCATGCATACGTACTAAATGGATGGCCCCTGAGGTCCTTGCCCAACTCCTCTGTAGGCCCCACCCCTTCATGTTTTTTTGACCCCACCTCTTCCTATTTAGACCACACACATTCCTCTTTACCACCTGTTTCTTGCAGCTTTCCCTGGTTTTAGGTTCTACAACTTCCTGCTTAAGCCCCTCCACCATCCTCTAGGTCCAACATTTTCCTGCTTACACCCCACCCCCTTTCTCTGTTAAGGCCCTGCATATGGGGTTGGGCTGATTTTGGTTGTGGTTGGGGGTTGTGGAAGGGGTGGTTAGAGGTGGAAATCACTCTGAGAGCAATATAAGGTTAGATTATTCAAGATTTAGGTTAACAGCGGTGGGGAGATTATAATATGTAGCTGATAACAGCGGACTGGCTTCGTGAGGATAGGCGAATGACTGAGTATGAAGTCAAGAGTTAATGGGTTGCTCATGTGAAAACTGAACCCTGCCGGTCTGATGTGCACCAATATGGAGGATGCAGTGTATGCAATGTATCCAGTGCGAGACTTGATTGTGAGGTAATTCTTGTAGGGTATGTGTAGTACAACCTTGTTCATTAGGATAGGATAATCTACAATGGTATGTACAGTAGTGATTTGCCGTTATTTTAAAAAAACCCTGGCCAAACCCGAGAAAACATGGTGAGGTACTGCCAACTTTCTAAGGTGCTCATGCAATGCACACTGACCATGACGAGCTGCCTGGTCTACCAGAGCATATGGAACCCATCCTGAGCTCCTCAGCCTGGCCACCCTCAACCTGTCCCTCCAAACCATAGCCCATCTAATCCTGCCCAATGTAATGACACCCCACTCGTCCCGACCTCGGCAAACCCGATGCCATTCCAATCCAAGCCCTCCCCATCCAATAGGACTCTTACCCCATAACCCCAATCACCTCCCCAGACGACATCACATCCATCACACCCCGCTCCAAACCTCCCCAACCCCCTCACCCCACCCTGCCTCATTCCTTTTGGTCTCACCTCACCCAAATGGGGTAAGGCGTGTTAGCACAAAGCCAATAAGCGGTGTGACTTGGAAGGCATTCCTCTCAAACCCGAAGCAGGCGATACTTGGGACTTGTGAATACTTCCTTTCATGTGTCATCTGTGTGTACACCAGCACATCTGCTGGGCTACAGGAACAAAGCCCCCTGAAATGCCCCGTGTGTGTATACACGTGTCCCGTGTGTGTCTGCTTGCGCCTCACAGGAGCAGTACTTGGCTCTGCGGCCGGAGCTGCGAGAGCGCGAGTACGGTGACGTGAGCGAGAGGAAGGCTCTGCGAGAGCGGCTCGGCTGCAGGCCCTTCCGCTGGTACCTGCAAAACGTGTACCCTGAAATCGAGGTGGGCCGGCCTCAGCTACCCCAGGCCGTCCTCAGCAAGATGCACAAGCGGCCCAAGCCTGTGCAACGTGGACGGGTACAGCTCGCCCCTGCCCCTCACCTGATGGACTCATTGGTGCAGTGATAAGTGTCACATGACGAGGGGAAGCAAAACGGGCAGCTGCAATAAGTGTGTGGGACAAAACAGCAAGAACACATTTAGCCTGCAGAACCTGGGTCCAACTTTTAATTACATTTTATAGTCTTTGTTGGCACAAGCTGAAAATGATCTGTGACTGTTATATTGATGGTTATAATGAACTAATTTCAGCTCATACTTTCAAAGTTTGGAGGCTTTTTCAATTCACAAGCAATATTGGGAGCAGTGGGAGCAGTGTGACATTGCATGGGTTCTGCAGTGAGTCTTGCGCCTTTAACATTTATATTTGGTGACGAACATTAATTTCAGAAGCCTTTTTATTATGAGGATGATGCATCGGTTCAAATACATTTCCACTGTGGGAAGCAGTAAAGCTGTGCAAATATCAGCTTTGCTTTTTAATAAAAACTACACACGTGTGAAGAATTCAAAGAAATAAAGTGAAGTGTCTTTCAAAATCAGTTGTGCACTTCTGTATCCTGAGCAAGTGATGAAAATTACATATGTTCTTGAACATGAGAATGTGGAATTTCCATAGTTGGTTTATCTGTATTACAAGTTTGCATAAAGTGGTACTCAATTATTTTAGTCGAGAGAGATTGGCTGAATTGACTTCCAACCAAGAATTGAACTCGCAACTTTCTGATAGAGGCCAGATACCAAAGAAATGATTGACAATGATTCTACTTTAGGGAATCCTCAGCAAGTCTCAAGTTTTTCATCAGGGTCTTGCATTCACAAGTTTGGCCAAATCTTTGCGGAGTATTCCAATCAGTTGAAATACGAAAATTTACCAGAAAAAGGTGATTTAAGTAAAACATGTTATGCTTTCCCAGATCTATGACTGTGGCAGTGAAAATTGGGAGCATTACACTTGCCTTCTCTGTGTACTCGCATTGCCTCCGCACTGTCACCAGTGGTGAGAGGCTGACTGAAAATATATTGGAATCCGATGGCTAATTGCTTTAGGTTTTAGATGTACCAATGTAATGCTGTCTTTTTGTATATTCAAAGTTACATAATTGAGTCCTTAATATAGCATTTGATCATGTATTTCAATGTGGAGGTGACAGCTCTGCAGTGAGACAGACAAGATGGAACAAACCAGAGAGCACTATCACAAGTAGTACAATCACAACAAGACAATACACAAGACCGGCATCACAGATCAGAAAGTGCAAACAAGACTAATCCAGGGAAGCAATACATTTTTATGGAATTGCGACCGAGAATTACAACAATTTATTGGCTCACAGGTGGTATATATTGTTACATACCTACCGCGTACCGTGCAAAATCACGAATGCCTGTGGTGTCGTTATGTAGCCTGTGTTCTTGTTGTGCCCCGTGTGTCTTTTGCTCTCTCTCGTGAAGCTGCGCCACCTGCAGACGGGGAAGTGCCTCGTGGCGCACAACGACCCGAGCGAGAAGGGCGGCCTCGTTGTTGTCCGCCCGTGCGACAGTGGCGACATCGAGCAGGTGTGAGCACCCTCCTCACTCAGCAGCCTCGACGCTGGTAGCCTCCTCACTCAGCAGCTTCTGTAGCCCAGCATACTCCTCACCTAGCAGCCTCTGGGGGTGGTAAGCTGCTCATCCAGCAGCCTCGAGCCCAATGCAGAGCACAAATCAGCCTACAATCTTCTTTTTTGTCCTTTGTGGTGGCCACCAGCTAAAGAGGCTGTTACCTACGACCCAAACCATTTGGAATGTGACCGATTGTCAGTTAGGGCTTGATTTTATGAGATCAGGGTTGAGCCTGGATAGTGTTTGGATGGGTTACACCATGCTACACATTTTAGATATAGTTAAACGGGGCTATGTAGTAGAGAGCAGAGGCCACTGCAGAAAAATCCATCGATGTACTTGTAAGTGCCTGTACTGTCACCAACTCGCATGGACGAGTGTGTTAAAGTATGGTCAAAATAAGCCCAACGACCTGCATGTTGTTTTGGTGCCCTCATCCAGCAGTGGATTGACAAACTGTATATCTACACGTAGATTAAGGAAACTGACTGGCAAAGCATTGAACGCAGTTGCTACTGGACCAATCTGCTGAGAGTTGATGCCAGCAATGAAGCAGTGCTGCTTGGTGTTTTTCATTGTGTTGGATGCATGATGAGTATGTGCTGCGTGTGGGTGTTTCCCAAAGTATTTGTATGCGCGCATGTGTTGGGTTCGGACTTTTATCAGGGTGTGTGTGTTTTAGTTGCAGGTTTATAATAGACTGCAGAGGAGCGATGCTCACAACAATCAGCAGAGTGCCGGGTGGCTAAAATATGGCAAGTTGGCACAGTAGGGGGTACAGCTAGTGCATCTACCAGTCATCTCAGTCAGCCAACCCATGGCACCTGGGTCTGTCCCGAGATCTGTCAGCGTACCTTTGACACTTCACCTGGCCTCAGTGCCGTGGTGACATCACCGTCACGTAGTGGTGAATGGCGGCGGGTATTGGTGTCAAGTGTGTACGTAGTTCGTGGTGTGTGCTCGTAGCAGGGTGTGTATTTAGTGTAATGTGTTTGCTGGATGCAAGTGGCTGGATTCGTCTTGTTGGGGTTAGTTCCCAGCTGGGTGCTTCTGTTCACAGGTGTGGGTGTATAACGAGGGCCAGGAGCTACAGCTGGCCAGTCTCCTGTGCCTGGATATGCCGGAGATGGAGCCACGTGCCTCCCCTCGTCTCATGAAGTGTCACGGCTCTGGTGGCTCCCAGCAGTGGACCATGGGGGTATGGTGCCACCAAATACAAACACGTACTGTATATACAACAAAGTTCCCCCCATAGGCTGTTGGGGCAAGTGCTCTTAGTGAGCAACTATGAAGGCTAATATGGCACATGAGGGGGTTGTGTGGCTCAAACACATCCGATTGCTATTGTGTCCCCCGTGGTGATAGTTACACACTGCAGGAGGTACTCATTTAAGGTTGAGGGGAGGCCCAGGACGAGTGAATGTATTTGTCACCAATGTTGGCCATGAGCAGGAATGGAACTCAGGTACCCAGGTTTGCAGCAGTGTGCAAACCACTGCACTACTGTGCTCCACATATACACACAAAACAAATATTCCCAAACAACCTTGTGAATATATGGGTCATGTCTTAAGAGCAAGCACTTATGTGGCTGACCACCCTTATATTCCTATTGCTGACATGTACCGACACTGATACAAAGATAAAGATCACCCATATAGCCTTAACAGACTGTTGGGGCAAGTGCTGTTAGCGAGCCCCTATGAAAGCCAGAACGGCACACGAGGGGGTGGGTGGCCAACACCACGCCCGGCCGCCTTTCTCTCCGTCGTAGCGATATTTACGCATCGTACCTGGTACTCATTTGGGTTTGAGTCGACCTAGGGTGGCCCGGACCGGTTCAGATAATCGCCACTGGTGTAAGCAGTGAGCGAGAATTTAATTCGGGCCACCGGATTCGTAGCGCAGCGTGCACCACATATACATATACGTACACACTTCACTGCACTCTTTTCCACATTGCTGCTGCGTGCATTGGCTTCTGGCAATCGTGCCCCTGCAAGTAAGCAAGAATTATAATGCCAGACTTCATCATAAGCCATCAAGTTGGATATGACGAATTACATGAATGAATGCCAGTGCACTCACTGCGGCGCTGTCGGAAGAAAAAGTCGTTTGGAATGAGAGATTTAAAGGCAAAGCCCAAGTCCATGCAAAATGGTCTCGTGTCATTTTTTTAGTGATGGGCTGTAAATTTTATTGATGGGCTGAAATTTCCCGAAACCTGTACTTTTGTCTGGTTAGTTTTTGTTTAAATGCACCTCAATGTGCAAAAAAGTTTGAAAGCGAGAACTATGTGGATTGCCAACACTGAGTAGTTTCGCAACCCTTAGCTTTGTCCTTGAGCAAAAAATATACATATTTCATACTCAAGTTATTGAAAACGAGGCATCTATAGGGAAGTGTTATTGAAAACAATATATATGTTATGGCTCAATGTCCTTGAATGAGCTTGTACCATCGGGATTGCCCAAGTGCTTTCAGAGTTAATGCATATTGAACTGTCCAGCATCAAATTACACATTCCTGCGGAGGGAGCTGGTAGGAACGTTGGGTTGCTCGGTCAATGGCCAGGGTCAACGGCGGCGTGGTGTATTCCGCAAATATGCCCGACTGTGAGGGCGGGCACAAGCCGGCGTGAGTAGGTTAAACGTTGAGTTTTATGGCACCACAGGGTGACCAGCCCCTCCCCACCCAGACCCACCCCTCCCACTCCCCACCCAGCCCCTCCCCACCCTCCCCTCCTCACCCAGCCCCTCCCTCCCCACCCTGCCCCCCCCTGCACGACGGACACAATAATCCCCTGTGGGCTGGTGTAACCAGGAGGTTCCTACCAGTATTTCATTGATTCAAAACTTAAATGTCACAACATCTAAAAGTGCAAAACGAAAACAAACATTAAGGGCAAATAGGGAAAAGTTCGGTAAAATAAGCCATAATGAACTAAATTCACCTTCAATAATGATCATTTAATAAGGAAAGCTTTTTCTGTCTCAACACTTTTTTAAATCACCATTGGAACCTCATTTGCCAGTAAAAAATATAATTGTTTTTTACCCTTCTATCTGGCGTCATCTGGTCCAACACCATGTGAGACTAGGCTCTAAGGAAAGCTGTCTCGGGTGTGGACCAATCAACTTCAAGGACAGTGCATACATTATCAGAGTTGTGTTTGTTGTTTGCATTACGACTGCAGGTATTGTGGTCTATGCAAACATGACTCCTTGTAAAAAAAGGTGTCAGTTTTGTTGCCAGATAGAAGGGTAAAAAAACAATTATCACTTTTTAAATCGTTTAGCCTTTTGCTAGATGTTTACTTGGAGGTACAAAAAAGTTCTAACAGCCATTGCCATAACAGTCTAAGCTAAACAGAGGATCTGGATATAGAAATCTGGGGTTAAAAGGTGTTGGTAAACACCATGGGACAAAGGAGTGGAGTGGCTGCATTTTGTAAATGTGTACAAACAGAATAGCATGTCATGCCTGCTTGTAATAAAGAATTCAAATAATTGTATCTCTACCAAAATGAGCAATGGGGTACTACCAAGCCAAGTGTAAATTACACATCCAGAACTGGGCCAGTATATCCATAGGATGACGACTGTTGACTGCGTAATAAATGTGAGTGGAAATTTGGGGGAAATCAACTCAAACTGATCGAAATTTCGACTTGCAACCTCATGAGAATAGGTTTTCCCATTTTTTCTGGCAACAAACAGGTGTTAAGATATTCAACCACCAAACTGAAACCTTTTACAAGGAATCATGTCTACATTAAGCACAATACTTGTGGTCAGAATGCAAAAAAAAAACACTGATAATATATGCATTGTCTTTGAAACGGATTGGTCCACATCAGAGACAGCTTTCTTTTGAGCCTAGTTGTCAAATCGGTGTTAAGACCAGAGGACGCCAAAAGGCGTACAGCACAAAGACAAGCACTATCAGAGTAATGAGAGCTCTGGGTGAGCAGCTGCATCATGGACCAATGCATTGACCACAAGTATTGTGATTAATGCAGACATGATTCCTTGTGTAGCGGCATTGTTGAGCGCTGTGTGCAATCGCCGCTACTCGTAGCCTGCAGTAACGGCCCCGTGTCAACAGGGGACGGAAGAGAGGCTGAGCCCGATAGTTTAGATGAAGTCGGGCCGTTGGGCCGAGGTAACCCCCAGGGAGCATCGTGACCGGAGGTGCAGACCCCAGACCCCCAAGAGGGGGCTTGGGGGATGACATCACACTCCAGGTCCCTCTGGAAGGTTCCAGAAGGGAGGAGTGGCTAGGGGGTGTAGTGAGCCGGGAATGGGTATAAAAGCCGGGACCCGGCAGTTGTCGTCCACTTCAAGACTGAAGATCACCCTGAAGACCTAGGAGCTGGAGCCGGAGCCGAGGACCTTGGCTGGGTCAGGTCAGAGTAGCCACCTTAGGACCCGCTAGCCAGAGGACCCTTATCTAAGATACCCTCCCGATGTGTAGGTCACGCTAGCCCGGGAGGACGTACCTCCTTAGTGTATCGGGTGGAAGGGGCCGTTACCCCTTCGTGTCAGGGCTGTACGGGTTATCGTGTAATAAACATGTTGCCTCCAGTGAGAAGTCCCCCTCAGGTTTGTACCTACTACACTTGTGAAAGGTTTCAGTTTGGTGTTTTAACATCTTAACACCTGTTTTGTTGCCAGAAAAAAGGGGAGAACCTATTGTCATATTTTGGTACTGGCAAAGGAAGTCCCATGTTGCAACCTCATGATTGAGTCAAATGTTCATAACCTCAGTGTATCTGATCGGAGTACCTTCTGCGCTGTCTTTCTCCAGAAGTTCAATCGGCTTTACCAGGTGTCACTGGGCCAATGCCTGCAGGTGAAGAGCATGATGGACGTGAAGGGGCGTGTGGTCATGGAGATCTGCAATGGCTCAGAGCAGCAGCAGTGGCAGGTGGTGGAGGAGTGAGCATGGCCTGGAGATCGACCGTGTCGCCGCACTTGGCACCCAGTGCCGATGGACAGAGGTACGAGGTTCTTGCCGCCACAAGCGAACAAGCAGAAGCCAAAGGTGTTGTTGGGAGGAGCAAATTCACTGTGAAACGTAAACTACAACGAGCTGATGTCTTGGTGGTGCCAGGATGCTGTAAATAAGGCACACGTCCTCGGTCAGCTGCATCGAACTTTGGACTTCAGCAGGGCCAAGTGCAAGCAAAGGAGAATGAGCACAAATGGCTTTCAGATTGGTGCCAGGCACCCTGCAGCACGGTGGACCTCAATCTGAAGACGAGGGCTGCTTGTGGGCTCCATGACGCAATACTTTTAATACCTGTGATGCTGTACACATTTCCTCATAACAATGCAAGGAAAGACACATACATAACACTGAGGTAGGGTTGTTTAGTAAACGTTTACAACTTGAATATTTCATCACCAGCTGTTTAAGCTGCCAAATGGAATGGCTGTAGTTAATTTCCCTAAATGTGTTAAGTGATTTTAAACAGTAGCCTTTTTACAAAATTACTTAATGCCAAAAAGGTGCTTAATTTAAAACACCGTAAGTATTTAATTTTTTTATTTCCGTGCATTTTGAAATGTAAATTTCATAAAAATGCCTTTACCAGTGTTTTTAATGAAAGTGTTGCAATGTACCTTGTGTGCGAATCTCATGTCGCGGCAGTAGTTCTTGTAGGTGAATCAGCGTAACTGTGCTCTGCAAAATGCTTAATAAACGATTTGTAAATGGCGTCGATTTCCTCATCTTTTTCCAGATGTAATCTCATGTGCAGTGGGTAGGACCTTCCATCCACTGTCAGGTAATGCCACACACATTTTAAAGTTAAACCCATGTTATCTGGCAAAGAGTAAACAAATATGTAAATAAAATGGCTCTGTATAACAAGATTTCCCCAAATATATATGGACTAGTAATTTTAATCCCAAAATTGAGCTGATTCGGCAGGAATGTGTCATTTTGATTTCACGTTGGTAGAAGAGCAAAGGGAAATCTCATGGAAAGCCGAGCCGTACGAGTCAACCACGTGTGTGCTGCTATTTATAGTTTACAATACAAGTTGTTGCAAAACGCATATTAAGCTTTGAAAAGGCTCCGCTAATTTGTATGTATCTGCATACAAATATGGCTGGAATGCGATGGGGGGTGTCTCTTTTATTATTACGATGCTTGTTTATCCAGGAAAGCCTCATCAGTTCTCAGGACTTTTTCAGGAGGGTGCTTTCAATTTCACAGTAGAGGGTATTGTTATTTGTAGTCGAAATTAATTTACAGGTACTATTTTAGCATGGGGGTGTGTGGCCAACACCAGTTATTGATTTGTTTTAGCTATGGGAGAAAACCAGAGAACCTGGAAGAAATATATGCAGAACAGGGGGAGAATATACAAATTCCAAACACAAAGGATGGCCGAGTCAGGAGTCTAACCCAGGGACTTCCTGCGATTGAAGGCATAAGTGTTACCAATGCGCCATCCTGCCTGGATTATAAAAACAAGCTATAAACAATTGTCCACTCCACTCTCCTTTCTCTCAATGTCTTGTGTCTACTATGTAAGGCCATCGTGATAGAATTTCAGACTTTTAAAAGTACACTTTCAAACACTTTAGAAGAGCCTTTTGGATTCTGGAGCAACCTTTCAATGGGCTTTAAGACCCTCAAAAATTGTGCATTGGTGTAACAACAAGGACTGAGGCAATGCAAGTAATTTTCTATTATGCCATTTCAATCTATAAATCAAAGGGCTTTGCTAAAAGATTAGTAATGCAAGGTTATTTAATAATCACTGCTTTATTTCTTTCACACAGTCAAGAACCTCTTCAGTAGAGTTTTAGACATGATTCCATACATACATGGCAACAACCAGCGATACCCACTGGACGAGTGATATATCACCATTTTGTACAGGAAAACCCCAGGGTTAAACATTTTAATACAGACAACTATGTACACATTGAATTCCATTGTCCAGTACAAAATAAAACATGCCATATACATTCAATTTCTGTGAAAAAGGCATGTAATTACTGTATACAGTCCACTGCTAGCACTTAAACAGTTATACACACAATTTTTCAATTCTGCTTAACAGCAAACAGCAAAATATGTTACGCAAAACAATTTCCAAATTATCCATCGAAAGCAAATAAAAAGACAAACACATAACTACAGCAAGACGGAAAAACAATCCAGTATAACCTAAAGGAATATGCACACGCACACCCTTGCACAATAGTGGTGTTAGCATTCCAATGAGCCTAAAACTAAGGTCAGAAAAATGTCATGGCAAGCTTCTCAGACACTACCTACAACATACACATGGAAAAATAGTTTATTAAAACCTGTTACAGAGCCACCTCTAGTAAATTCACAGTAACAGCCACAAACCGACCCACCCCAGCGCACCTGTTCCCACTAGTACTCTTAGCTGAGCCAGGTAAGCACGTTTGGTCGATTCGATCCCACGCCCATTTCCTGCTTTACACACATGATATTTACAGTACTTTGTACATGATAAACTCTATAATGATTTTTCTCTTTTTTACGTTTTGTCAGAAACAGCACCCCACTGTCACTTGTATTAACTCTCAACGCGAATCCCTGCCTGTGAATATAAATAAGTTTGCTATAACGTCTTTCATTACAAAACTGAAGCCAAGTGGAAACTGATGAGCAAGAAGCTAGGTCGATTTAGTGCAAGTAGTCCCTTAGTACATTCTTCAGTCTGTGAGATTTCTTTGCTCTTAAAATCCCTTTTGACTTGCCCAATTTTTTTTTTACACCTTAAAGGTGGAGAACATTTGGTAAGCAGGCTGCTCTTATTATTTTCAATATAAAATCTCTGCTTAGGGACTTTCCGCTGCACATCGAAAAGCTAATAAATTTCAACTAGACTTCCTCAATATTTGGGAGAATTCTATAAAGGTCTGCAGATGGTTCTGCATCTTGGGGCAAAAAAAAACAACGACAGAAAAAAACGTGTCCGGCTTAAAAGGGTCCGTCATTAGCGAGACGCTGACCATCCCGGCAACCTGGGTCTGCTGCCGCCACATCAATTCATCCACTTACGGCAGTTGATGGCCCCGCAGTGACATGGGATTTTGTTCTGGTCATCCTCGAAGTCAAACAGGTAGTCGTAGGTCAGCTGTGGGCAACAAGAGACATGAAGGCCACTGTTTAGCATTGTCGGCCGACTTAGAAAGCCCAGAGTTTGGACATGGGCACTACCGCCCAACTGAGTACTGGGCAGCACTTTTCTATTGTTAGCCCTGAGCTTGTGGTGAGAATTCCAATTATTATAGCAACAGCAGTTTTACCAAGGGACAACTACCCTTGATCTCCCACAAAGTCATACCTATTAATTAAGAATGAGCAGGTGATGAAACCAGGGTTGGAATCTGTAACCTAAGTGTAAAATAGCAATCAGATATTTATATATTTTTTCAATCCTGTGAGTCTCAATACTTTTTTGAGGTGGGCTATCCATTGGATATTTAGCCAGTGCCTTTAAAAAGCAGTTACTTACATCTGAGAGGAAACGCAAAGAATAAACACAATAGAGGAAAAACACTCAACATGTTCACAAACCGGTTTTTGACCCCACTTGGTGTATTTCCACCTTCTGATCACTTTACAGTTCATGGGAAGTTAGGGCGTCTCAGATTTACACAGCTCAGACACCGTTTTGTCTAAACAAACAACCTACAGATACGCATCACCACATTCAGCACTATTCAGATATATACTGTGGGATATGCAATAATCAAACAGCAAGGTACAGCAGAATTCCTCTGTGCAATGATGTGGAAGGAGAAAGTTTGCTTATTAGGAGAGACCCATTTCAGTAAATATTGGATGCATTTCGATTTAAAGCTTTCGTGACTGCAGGGATTCATCTTCTTGGTTCTTTCGGTAAAGTCACATAGAAGGGAAGTAATAAAATAATAAAAATAAAACATAATAAAATAAAATAATTCTCACGACGTTTCGGCTACAACGCAAGCAGCCGTCTTCAGGTTTGGTAGTGTCTCATTCTTCACCTGAAGACGGCTGCTTGCGTTGTAGCCGAAACGTCGTGAGAATTATTTTATTTTATTATGTTTTATTTTTATTATTTTATTACTTCCCTTCTACGTGACTTTACCGAAAGAACCAAGAAGATTGGATGCATGTTTAGTGAAAAAACCTTTTATCCTGCATGCAAAACAAGCATGAATGAATTTGCATAACACTCCAATGTAGGACCATTTTGAAAATAAGTTGAGGGATTCCAGGATAATGAGGACATTTATTCATAAAATGTGGTTCTCTCACCTCTTCTCCTTTCTGAATGCGCCGGCAGGAAGAGATGATGATCTTGTTCTCCCGGTCAAATGTCACCAATTCGGCCACACAGTTGGGAGCACATGAATGGTTTATGTATCTGTGGAACACAAGATGACAGCAACAATTATTATTATATAATTGGGTTTTAAATGGACACTGCTTACTAGGATTATAATTATCCACAACCTAACCACCAAATCTGGCCAGATAGGACTGTGGTCCAAGCACTCGACGTCCAACTGGAAGGTTGTGAGTTAAAATTCAGATTGAGTTGACTCGGCCCGATGAGATTTCCTGCAGTTAATTTAGTGTAATGGTTCTTTGGAGGGTGGTCTCCGCCATATAGCTGCCAATGGAGACGGGCAGTGGCCATTGCTTCTTTGAGCAAGAAGACACTTTTCAATTTGACTTCAAGCAGCAACACAAATACTTGTGAAACTACTCAGAGTGTTTTTTAACTGCGCAAGTTACTCACACATGAGTAATTTGTAGTTTTTATTTCCTGATTTTCCACAGCAGCACATACGTTGAATAAGTGTTATAATTTACTGTGCCCCAGTTTGACACACCGCTGAGTTGTGGATGGCTCTTTCCCATTACATCAGACTGCTCAGCAGCATTTGTTTTAATTGGCCACATCCTGCTGACGAGACACAACGAGGTTATTTTTATCCAGCCAAATCTTTGCACGATTTAAATATGTGCGACTGGAAAATACCGATTCAAAATTCACATTTTATGGCCTAATTCAATGTTCTTTAATTTTTAAATATTACGTTTCCACACGTGAAGAGATCACACGAGTGCTGATAATGAGAAGTGCCAATAGCTTTCAATACGATTAGCACAACACGTGCAAAATACACACACAGTGCCAAATTTGGCAAAATGGAATTGGTCTGGTTTCTGGTGAAAAAGCACCACTTTTAGTGACCATTTCATCTTCTTAACCATCACTGAATGGTGTTCCTTTATACTTGATAGAACATTTCAGTGTATTCCAATTATCTAAAATAAGTTTAAAAAAATGTCGGTCTTCAGAGCTAAGGGAGGCAGGATATGACTTGTTGTAGCCAATAGTGACAAGGTTAGGTGGGACCCTCAAATCACAACATCAGTTATCAATGGTACCAGCTCAGTGCCCTGCATTAGCCTTTTGAGCCTAGCTGCTATGTTTTCATGTACATTCACATTGCCTAGATATCGAGTATGCCCCTTACCTGGCAGGCCCTCCTGTTATCGTAGCGTCGATCACATGCTCACTGTCCAACCGGAACATGTAAACACCACGGTTCTAGTAGTGCACAACACCACCCAGAGACAGGGGGTTATTCAAACGACACATTCACAATGACAACAACGACACTTCACAGAAAGCCATTATTTTTCTGTGCAATTATGAGCAG